AAATATGTCTTTGAATCCTTTCTGTCATGTTAAATGGCAAAAATGAGACTTAAAAGCAATAGTTTTGCAGTCACTGACTGGTTTCACTGAGTCAAATGACAGATGGAAAGAGGCAGGAGGGTTAAGGAGACCCTGTGAAGTTGAAGCTCAGTGTGTTTGACTGTGTTTACTGCTATTTGTGTTGCTTTAAATTGTTGGTAATTAAACAGATGATCTGACTCTGGTTAATAGTTGACCTAAATCAAAATATCAGGACTACTGGTTTAAGGAAAAACCAGTGTTGACTGACCAAAGTTTGGGGTGTGGCTAGGGCTGGGCGATAAATCGGTTTTATCGATCAACTCGAATGTGTAGTTTAAATTGGTTTGTTTGAATGAAAATCGGTTTTATCTTTAACATCTGCCGACGCTCCCCTCTCGGCTCCCGTAGTTCTGAGTGGGCTCAGCTCACCCCCCTGCATAGAGATGGCGTGGCAGCAAGCAGGGAAGAATTCGTTCAGAAAAAAGGCAGTGTCATCAGTAATATGGAATTGGTTCGGTTTTGCCGTGTCGGATGCAGAACAAACACCCCGCTGCAAAGTGTGTTTAAAGTCTGTTGCTACCAAAAGTAGCAGTACGACCAATTTAATGCCACACCTCAAACAGAGGTATGCTGCCAAGTGGGAGAGATGCTGCGCCCTACGAAACGAACGAGACAGTGGGAGCCAAAGTACACCCGCCAAAAAACAACCCACAGTTTTACAAACTTTTACAAATGGTGTCCCGTATGATAAGAATGGGGCCCGATGGAAAGTGATCACGGAATCTGTCGCGATGTATATCGCAAAAGATATGGCGCCCATATAGACTGTGGAAAATCCGGGGTTTAATCACATGCTGAAAGTTTTGGACACCAGGTATGTTTTACCAAGCTGCAAATATTTTTCTGAAGTTTCCTTGCCTCGGCTATATGTTTTGTTTGCACTTTATCAGAACTACCTCCTACTGAACAACAAGATGTTAAACTTGTGTTTAAAGAAAACTTATTTAAAGGGTTAAGTTTTATGTTTTCACTGTTTACAATGGCAGGGCCAGCCATCTGTATTTTGGCTTCTTTCTCATTGCACTTTTATCCCAGAAGGTAAAATCAAAACAAAATAAAGTAATATTTGTTTTGAACAATTTCTTTGTCATCTGCATATTTATTTTAAGTAGGGGAAAAAATCGATTTAAATTGTAAATTGGATTTTTTTGTGAAAAAAATCTTTTTAAGGCCATATCGCCCAGCCCTAAGTGTGGCAATAAAGCGGTGTCATCTGGGATCTAAGTTCTTTGTGTGAGTAAAGAAAACGCTTAGATAAGCCTCAGTCAGGCCTGCGGCTGTTGGTCCTTACCTGCAGCTCTGCAGGCGGCCTCGCAGGGACCACATGTACAACATTCTCCTTGGAGCATGTTTTACACATTTTTCAAAGTTATTTTAATGAATAATGGAAGCTTGTTTTAGCTCCCTGAGACGTGAGAGCCCAGGGTGGCACATAAAGTAGTGGGCAATATTGACAATCCTTATGCTATGCTGTTGCATGTTGGTCTGTATATTGAGATACAGTAAATTGTCTGACAGATCGATTGAGAAACTTGATTCTAGAATGAACATAAATGCAAAATCTAACTGTTGACAAATGTGTTGTCATAGTTTTATAGCCTGACATGTTTGAGTGTTGAGGCATTTAGTGCTTGGTCTGCAGCCATTCATCTGTAACTGTTTTACTGCTCTGGCCAAACTTGCTTTGCATTTGCTGTATAACATGCTGAAAATACTCAAACAGGTAGGCTAACAGATGCCACTACTCACTCTAGTAGTATGAACTCTGTGCATGCAGTACAGCCTCCGGGCTGTAGGCAATGAGACAGTGAGGTTAGCAGGAGAACGGATGTTTCCTAAATGTGTAGACATGATTTTGATTCTCTGTTTTCTGTAATTATCACTGTTGTAGTGGTCTCTAAAACATAAGTAGCATTGTGATTGGATAAAACTGAAGATGGTGAAATTAATGGCAGGACACAGATTTTTTTATTTTCCTTGGCTCAGTTTAGCAGATGAGCTTCATACTGGCCTCTGGCATTTGACTCCAAGGATGTTACCATTATGTACTCCAATTCATTTTCTATGTCAGTTGGCATAAATTCTGCTGAGGTGGTGGTTTCTTCCAGTGAATGAATTTGTGGTTATATGGGTCAAAGCGCTTTGCTGTCTGACTGTAGTTTCTATTTTTGCTTGTAGTTACTGTGTTTTGACCTTGGTTTAGTGACATGTCAGTGACTTGTGACTTATTGCTTGTGCAGTTTGTCAAATTTCAGAAGCCTGAAAACGGTGATAAGGCTTGCTCTTTCATTAAAAATGTAAATTAGTCTATATGCAGTACATAAGTCACCCCAAACTGCAAGCTGTACTGGCTTGAAAAGGAAGATATTATGAGGTGTTGTGCCACTGTTTTGTTTGTACCAGCCAACCTTTTGAAAGTCAGAAGCCCATTGGATGTTCAGGGCCCAAACTGATGTCTTTGTGTCAGAACAACAAACTCGGGTATTAATATTATGAAACACACCAGCAGCAAACCTTTAGTTGAGCTGTTCAGTGGTGATGCTGTTCCACTTGGACAAGAACCTGTACATTACACTAGTTTACACTTGGCTTCTAAACTGCCACACAACTGCAGCTAGGACCAGCATATTGTGTATTTGACTAAGGATGTTGTGTACAGAGGTTCTTCACCTCTTGAGAACAGCTGACTCAAAGTGTTGCTTTGAGTTTACTGTGGTCCAGTCACTATGGACTGTAAAAAAAAATGTGATAAAAGCGGTGAATTTCATTATTTTGCTGTACAAAAAACAGACCCCTCTTGTAACTGGTGTGGGTTATAAGGGTGAGGTGAGCACAGTGCCACAGGTGCTGGTACAGTAGTCATCTGATCAACATATGCTTTCAGAAACTCCTCCCTCTTGTTGAAATTGGTCAAAACATCATGCGTGAGTGACCTGTCCTAAAGATGGATTAACCGCTGCTCTGAATGCCCTAGGGTGTAAAATGTGAAGGTGTTTTGCACAAGTTAGATGTTTGCGTCTGGATAAATAACACAAGTATATTGTCCTTTATGGTGTTAGAATGGACTCGGGTCACACTTGCAGTACACCTCCAGTTTTTCACACTTGGAAAAGCCAAGCTTGTAATTGTTTTCAAATCAAATGGGAATTTGCAGAAAATCTACAACAGTTTGACACCGAGCTGTTTGCTGCAGTTTGTCAGTATACATGCTTTTTCTTTGCTTTTTCTTTTTTTTTGTGCACAGCAAAATGTGCAGTATAGTCGATTGCTGTCTGGTGGTGACAGCTGAGCTGTGGCAAAGAGCAGCAAATGGAAAAAGAAATAGCTTGTCCAAAAAAAAAAAATCCTCTTCATGCCATTTGCACTGACTTAAGTTAGGATTCAAAATACTGTGTAAACAAAAATACTAGGACAAAATGTTTGAATGCTTTTGAGTTACAGAAATAAAGAAATGTAATATTGTGCTTTCAATTTTTACATCATCTCTTTGGCTGATTTTTTTTTTTTTTTTTTTTTTTTTTTTTTGGGATGGAACATTATATTGAAATTCGGGGGGGGGGGATAAAGTATTCCCCAGTTAGGTGTACATTATTGTGAAAAGTTTTAATTGTATTGTGATTGTATCGAATCATTTGCACCGTCTTGTCCCTACTGAGTATGGTGAAACATTAAGTAGTGCATTGACCAGGGTTTGAGAAATATTGATCAGGTTTGAGTTTTACCTATCCATCCAACAGCAGTGATGCTGTGTTCAGCCCTGGAGTAGAAAGAAACCAATTTGCATTTCAGTAATGGTGAGCTGGCATTGTCACTGGATGCACCCAACAAGGTGAAACAAATGGATAAATGAGAATTGCTCAGCCATCTATACTGAAGTTGAGGTTTTGGAAACATTGTCACCTTTAACATCCTAAGTCTGCCTGTGGATCTGCTGGTGTTGGGCTGCAGCATCAGGAAACGCTGTAATATTTGTACTACTCATCCTCAGTTTTGCCTGTCAGGTGACTGTAGGAGCAGTTCTGTGTGTTTGCAGCCAACTTCCTGAGGTAAACATTTGGGGTATCCCCAGGAAGTTTGTTAGGTGGTCAGCACACAAGTAAAATACTTGTGATCTGGGAGAGGCACGGACATGTAGCACATGAGTAAGAGTCAATTATCTGTAAGTGCAAACACACAAATGATCCAAAATAAAGCATCATTTTGTCAGCTGCAATCAGTTGTTTGTTTTGAAGCTAACATAAAGTGCATTAGTTATTTTTGTGACTGAAGTTTTCTTATTTTGGCTATAGAGTATATTTATGTTCTGTGGTAGATGTGTAGATGCTTTGGTTTCTGTTTATTTGTTGTGGTGATTAGTCCTTGTCTTGTACTGTTAATCTGCAGGTTTAATGGTGTACTGAACGCCTTGGTGACCTAAACCTGTCGTTTGTGGTTTTTATTATAAAGTGTTGAGACTTGGAGGTTGGTTTGTGTGTGCGGGTCTCGTGCTTTGTGTGCTGGGTAACAAATGCAGGATTTGTCAGCATAACGTGTTCGTCAGCTCTGTTGCTGGATGTAAGCAGTCTGAGCAGACCAATTGATTTTTGTGCTTTCTGGTTTCAGTGAGCATCTCTTGTGCCGCACTCCCATCCATTTTACTAATTGCCATTCCTCATGCCATTCCCAGTTGTTTTGGCCAGGTTTCTCTGCACTCTGCTCTCCTTGCTTCTGCTGTTTCATCCTTACTGAAGATGGATTGTTACTAAGTGAAACATTGCCTTTTGCTTCTCCCTGGTTTCGGTCAATCTGCATGGACAGCTAGTTCAAAAGAAGTCCAGCCTCTTCCTCTTTTCCCCCAACAATGACATGTGATCACCTCTGACTGTTGCTTTTGTTCTTGTTGATCTAACATGAAGTACTTTCTGTGTCCACATTTTCAGACGGCAACTCCAAACTAACATGGCAGTCAGACTGTGCGATGTGGCTTCTCTGCTTAGAAGTGGTTCGTGGGCATCTGAGCCTTGGACTGGGGTCTGTGGCACTTCTTTTAACCATTTGGCCAGAAGGCCTGCTTTTTGTCTCAGTGCTCAGGCCATACCAATGAAGTTAGTCTCAAATCAAATTATCACAATTTGGAGTTCAGGAATTTGGGGTTGTGTATTAAAAGCTGCTAAGTGGTTAATGTTTGTATTGGTATGGTCTAAACCTGTCTACTTCTGATGTGTCTAAAAGAATTACCTTTTTGAAATGGTGTCTGTGCACAAATTAGTGCAGAGCATGCATAGCTGTGACACTGTGCTTTCTGCACACGGTGAATCTGTTAACAAAGGATGACTCTTCATACATTAACTTGTTGCTGATTGCCTTATCAGATTATCATACCGAGCACGTTGTCCGATGCTAGTGTACTGATGGCTGCAGGTTTGGTGGCACTATAAGCTTTGCGTATCTACTTTATTTTGCTGAATGAAATGTTAATACTTTGGTTGTTATGTTTAAACATGCCACTTACCAACTTAAATAATTCTTTACCAATTGTTGAGCTTCTGACGGGTTAATAGACGTCACTTTGCTTTGTTGTTCAGAAACAAAAGCAGCAATCATGAGTAGCAGAGGGAATTCACTGTCTTCTCTCTTCCTATTTTCAGTTTTGTTTTTTCATCTATGGAAGAAAATTTAAGATTTAACACATTTGGCCAGATTTTTATGTAAAAGGTGCAAACTTGCATTTAGAAGCCTGCCTCTACCTGTTTTGACAAGTAGCATCACAGCTTCAACTTGAAAATGTGATGCACAACAAACACAGATGTAGAAAGAATCTTGACACTCAGGACTGCCTGCGACTTGTTTTTGCGGTTAAAATTAGTTTAATTTCA